TATATATATATATATATATATATATATATATATATATATATATTTATTTTTTTGGATTGGCATAGATTAATCTCACTGTAATCTTGAAATTAATCTAGATTAATTTTAAATAAATAACTAATTTGTTTTCTGCCAAAGGCATTCATTATATGTTTGTGCCTCCTTCAGAATTTAAAATAACAGGTTTACTTTTATTTTTATTCAAATCTTTTTATTGAAAAGTCAGAGGTAGAAACAATAGATCGTCTTCATGGTTACAAAAGAGTTTCCGTTTTTCAAACTTTATACACATTCCAAAATCAACATACCAAAACATATTAGTCAAATATGCAATATTAATATGACATCTGATACAATTGCTGTCAATATTTGGGTATATGGAAGAGATCCTTGCTCTGCTCCAGTGCAAATGATGGACAATCTTAAACTGAATTAAAGCCACAGCTCGCACCGCCTGGTATGTTGCAACCGCGAGAACAAAGCGACCTCCACCTCCACGCTCCTTCCCAGGCTATGCTCCTGCTCTTCAGCCTATGCCTGCTGCTTCTTTTCCTCATCTCCTCAATAACTGCCACTGTTTCCCATACTCTTCCTCCTGTAGCTTCGTCTTATCTTACTCATCCTCCTGCTTCTCATGCTCTTCCTCCTGCAGCTGCTCTCACTTCGTCTCCTCATCCTCATCATCTTTCTCCTCCATCTCCTCCCCCTCCTGGTACTATGTTGACCTTCCATATTGAGGTTATAAAATAATGGCTTTTTATGACTGGAGTTAACAGTTTGATGCTTAGCCAAAATTGATCCAAAATGGCCGACTTCCTGTTGGGTTGGACCATGGGTCCGATAGACTTTTTTGTGCATCCTGTTGGGTTGTACATGTGTACCAAATTTTATAATCCTCAATAAAAGCAGGGCCTGCGGCAGTTATGTCATACTGTTATTGCTGGAAGTCTGATTTTGATGCTTGGCCACGCCCACATGGTTTGTCACAGCAAAAATCTTTTGATTGCTTTTGACCCCTTAT